GATGTTACATGTAATATACCGCAGCACCAGGTTCAAGGTAATAGAGCACAGCATGATGTTACAGATAACATACCACAGCTTCAGGTTCAAAGTAACATACAACAGCATTATGTAACATATAATATACCACAGCATCAGGGTGCAGGTCACATACCACAGCATGATGTTACATGTAATATACCGCAGCACCAGGTTCAAGGTAATAGAGCACAGCATGATGTTACAGATGACATACCACAGCTTCAGGTTCAAAGTAACACACAACAGCATTATGTAACATATAATTTACCACAGCAACAGGCTCGAGGTAACATAGCACAGCATGATGTTACATGTAATATACCACGTCAGACTCCAGGTAACATAGCACAGCATGATGTTACATGTAATATACCACGTCAGACTCCAGGTAACATTGCACAGCATGATGTTACATGTAATATACCACGTCAGACTCCAGGTAACATAGAACAGCATCAAGGCTGAGGTAAGATAGCATCATTCTATATTTGGTTCAAAATAAGCTACGATCAAGTTCCATATTTCGTTTCAAAAGTAACCCCAAAATTCCGTAAATTGATTGCAGATTTTATGCTATGTTATATTGCAAGTGATAATATTAGAAGGAACTATTGTATATTTATCGAGTCTCAGTTGATGGAACTATAAGTTAATGTCAATGTCAACTTAAATTATTTAAATGGATGACTCTAAATCGTAGTTATAACTCTGTTAATTAAACTATTTATATTTTTTTCATAAATAAAAACAAATAATATAAATATTATTATTATCTTAAAATTAGAATTATCTGTCTGATCCGTGTCTTTTTTTATATATATAAACAATAAACCTTCAATGACCTATAAAATCGCCGAAACAGATTCCACTCGGCGTAAAAGGCAAAAAAGTTGTGAAAAAATATATGAATCAGTGATGACACCAGTTGTTCGCTGAAAAGGTAAGCATATCCTCCTGCACCGGTAGCAGCGCCACTCACACAATTTGCATTAAAAGCAAGTAAGCATAAAAAGCTGTATCCCTATAATACGATGGCGACCTGTAACCAAACGAGTCTTGGACAGAAACTCCGATCCAGTGACATGACAGCGCATTTATGTATCTTGTTTACGTATCTTGTTGAAACAATAACGGAAGGTTATTATTGAATTACGTCTGCTGATAATGATTCAAGTCTACCGTTTCACAATCACGACATATGCTGTAACGCAAGCTGATGTCAATACAGATTGTGGCGAGAGAAATCTGGACCCAGGAGAAGCGGTCGAGCACCGTGGACGTCCTCGTGCACATCATCGACACGAACGACAACTCCCCGGTGTTCAACGACAACTACAACTTTAACATCTCTGAGGACGCCCTTCTGGGGGAGATAGTTGGGAATGTGGCTGCAACCGACTCCGACAGTGGGGACTTTGGTAAAGTCTTCTATCTGATGGAAGATGCGAACGCTGATTTCATCGTTTCCAAAGCGGGCGTACGTAGCACATTATGATGATATCTCGTTTGTAGAATGACATTACTGTAGGCACACGGTAGGTTTATTCTGTAACTGTTAAAATAAGTTTTATTCTTTCCAAAATATGCTATTATTTACCGACCTTCTTATGATATTTTAGTTCCACAAAGCGATCGTAGCGCTACGATTGTCATTAGTCTATGTTAAAGTATCACATGAAGACTGGGCTTCCTACATTGTTCATATGTAGATATCTTACTGCTATCTTAATACTCAATGTTCCTGCTGAGATTTACCAACATTATTTTCATGAATGCACAATGCTTTATAGGAGTGAAATGCAACAAATGCTATATTTGGATCACACTTTCTTAACAAGTACATATTCTAGTACTTTTTGTTGGTTGAATCCCGTCCGGGATTCGTACACACACTCTCAGAGTTAGGTACCTTATCCTCAGCACACAAATTAAGTGATCTATACTATCAGTTTCACTTTGTGGAAGCCTCGGTGCTTGTGTGGGTTAGATCGCTGACCTTGTGTGCTGGTGATTAGATGCCTTACTCTTGGAGTGTGGGTTCGAATCCCGGAAGAAACTCAACCCCCAAAAGTACTAGAATTTGTACATTTTAAGAAAGTGTGATACCGAATCTAATAACTGTAACAATGTTCTTGTGTCTCAGGGTGTTATAACCGTTGCAACTCAACTAAGTCGGGCAAAAAGGTCGTCGTACTCGTTGTTGGTGATGGCGTACGACAACGAAGCTGATGTTAACGGACGACGTTCCGGGCAGACACGGGTAGAAATACGCCTGAACGACGTTAACGGTAACCATCTAAAGTTTGATCAGCCTAAACCTGTGACAATTCCAATTGCTTAGGACATAGACAACGGTACCATCGTCACTACCGTGTCTGCAACGGACGCCGACAAATATCTATTTTCAAGAGGTTCAGGACAGTTTGTCAAAAATGAAAGTTCACTGAGAAAACAATATGTGAAATGCTACACTTCCTCATGATCATTGATAACATCTATGTAAAATATGGGGATAAGACATTTAGGAAAGAAGTAGGCATCCCCATGTGCATCAACTGTGTTCCCCTTCTTGCTGATCTGTTTCTTCATGCTTACGGAATTTCTGCTCGAATTGACAAATCAAAACAAGGGAATCTGGCCAAGAGGTTTAACTGTTAAATAACCATCAAATAGCCCAGTCCCTTCCACTGAATTACCTACCTGAACCAGAAATATAAGTGAGAAGTGAAACCACCTTATCTGTTTTTATATTTATATCTCTGCATAAGTACATGACAAGAGGAATGACTCGAACTTTCCAGAAGTCAACTTTCCCTCAACATCAATGGGTATTCCAGCCTCCTATGACTCTTGCTCAAAAGTTGTTTTTTATAAGGTTCCAACATTCAAGGCCTCAGCAAAGCTTTGAGAACGATTTATGGTAGACATGTGGAGCACGCATGCACGCACTCACTCACTCACTCACTCACTCACTCACTCACTCACTCTGTAAACGCAGTGTTGAGGAAGATAACTGCTTATTTACGTCAACCCCGTATACTCGAAAGTGACCTAGAATACTGATTGATGTTATATCCATGTGTACAAACAGTTCAAATTCAATTTTGTTGCAAGTGATCACTCAGTTTGTTTCAATTGTCATGTGGTCTCTGGTCAGCTGCTTTGTAATGGACAATAGTCAGTACTACATTTCACTGTTCTAAACGCTTGGGCATGGCATGAAACTATCAGATACTACGAACGATCGGACGAATCGATCGTTTCCATTTACTGGTATCAGTCGGCTCATATTTTTGGACTAATGGCATTCAAGTTTACGGAAGTCTTTTAGGGCCATTTCTTCAGGTTTTTAGTTTCGTCTTGAAATTTCAAGATACTAAGTTGAAAGTTCAAGAGTCCAGGTTGAAATTCCAAGATACTGGCGTGAGATTTCAAGATAATGATCTTGAAAATTCTGGGTAATAAGTCGAAATTTCAAGTTAATATTTTGAAATTCCAGCTTCGTATCTCGAAATTTTAATTTAATCATTTCAAAATCATTATCTGGATATGTTAGCTTATGTATCTTGAAATTTCAAGATCATTACCTCGAATTTTCAACTTATGTATCTTAAAATTTCAACTATCATCTTGAAATTTCAACTCAGTATCTTGAAATTTCAAGACACTAATTTGAAATTCCAAGTTATAATCTGAAAATTTCACTTATTATCTTGAAATTTCAAATTAGTATCTTAAAATGTCCACAGAACTTCCAGATATTGCAAGTTAGTATCTGAAATCTCAAGATAATAAGTGAAATTTTCAGCCAAAAATAAGAAAACAAACGGTCCAAAAATGCTTCCGTGCAAGTTGGTTGAAGCAGCTGGAAAATACATGACTGTAATTTGAAGCCCAGTGAAAGCTGACGATTGCGTGCGGGCCTTGACCTGTTGCACAACGCAAGGAACTCAACTGCCTCCTGTATCTGAGTTCATGAGTCCTTCTTGAATTCCACAGTACTTTACAGAATACAACTCTCCCATTAATTTGATACAAGGGCGTCATATATCAGTCATGACATTCCTACACCGCTGCAAACCCTCACAGGCGATCCGAGAGAATTTGGGCATATACCACATTTACACCACCTTCTTCTTGTGATCTTGAACTGGAATTTTAACTCATCCCTAAAGATACAGTTTGGAAACTCGTTTTCTCTATTCCTTTCACAGCGTTCCTGTCCTTTCCGCATATGTTCGTTTGTCATGAGGGGATTACACGTATCCAGAATTTAGATATCTTCTTATTTTAGTTAGGATGAATCGCCTGTAAACGTGCCACTCTCAAGCTATCATTTGGGCCTAAACTACGCTGCTGTCCACAACCGAGCCCTAATCCTGCCTTAAATATATTCCAAGTCCAGTAGTATTTAGCACGGTAAAGGTGTGTTACCTGACGTACCGGAAGCCTGGCTCATATATATCAATATATGACATTTACTGGTTAGATCAAACATCCTTCATGTCGATCCGTGAAGATCCGGTGTAGAATAGGTCTTCTGTAACCTATGCATGATGTAAAAGGCGACTATGCTTGTCATAAGAGGCGACTAACGGGATCGGGTTGTCAGACTCGCTGACTTGGTTGATGCATGTCACCGTATCCCAATTGCGTGCATCGATGCTTATGATATCAATCACGGGATTGTCTGGTCCAGACTCGATTATTTACAGACCGCCGTCATATAGCTGGAATATTGCTGAGTGTGGCGTTAAGCAACAAACAAAACTTTCATGTCATCACCTGATATGGCTGGTATAAGGGGAGGTAATCGAGTTCACCTGAGTGCAGCTCACGGTTGTGTTGGCGTAAGGTCTCTGCCTCGTTCTATACTTTCGCCGCAGCATTAACTTTGGAAATATCGACGAGTGTATACTTTTTGTCCTTTGCTATATATTGTATCAAAGGTCGTATTTTAACTTCTCTTTTCTCATCAGCCCCCTTTAAGAAACTGATGGTCACCTGCGACTCCAGGGATTTCAAAGTGACTGTACCCCGTGACATGATTCAACAAGTGTTTCCGGGGTCATCTGAATATGACCTGACCCTGGATGACCCTAGCTGCAGGGGTCAAGTCTACTATGACGTCGTGATGTTTCGTTCAAACATCCTCGGATGTGGCATGACAAGGGAGGTAACTAATCCGTCCGTATTTCGTGCTGCGTTCGGTCGTGTCACAAACTTAACTCAATGCACAATGGAATCATATTTTGTATCTGATTCCACATAATTTCTGAAACAGGATTTAAATATAAATATAGATGTAGATATAATTGTTAAAAGTGTAATGTACAATGTATACCAACGGAGTTCAATAAAAGTAAATCTATTCTGATGAGATACGTAGATATAGATTGAATATGTGTAAATAACAACATGATTCATTGGCGACACACACTCACCTAAATAACGCCATGAAACCCATTTGGTTGAATTCATTCTACATCATACCGGAAGTGATCTGATCTAAACCATGGCTAATACAAATCAGTAGTTTGTTGTGATTAATTTTTACCCTGTATTAATTGACCACGTGTTCACGAGGTAATTGGCAATTACGTCACAGAGAACTGGAGGGCGTCATTCTATCACCACTGCCCACGACCTTGACAACCTAAATATTTATTAGTTAAAATATCGTTTTTCCCTAACGTCGACGATATACTACACAAACGTCCTTTTGCTAACTCAATGACCTCGACCCTTGCTCATAATGTATGATCCCGGAAACATTGAAAGTAATCTACGCCTCTTTAGTCCCAACATGCCCAGGAAAGATATGAATGGTCAAGGAAACACACAAAAACACAAACAAACACACACACACACACACACACACACACACACACACACACACACACACACACACACACACACACACACACACACACACACACACAAACACACACACACACACACACACACACACACACACACAGGCCAGACAGTTGCATCTGGGGCACATTGGAATGGTCTAGGAGGGAAGGATTCAGTCGATACATCTATAGATTGCATCGATTACACAAGTTATCGCTCATGGTTTATTTTCAGCCCTACCACGTAAAGCCACACATGTGGGTTGTGACAATAACATACTTCAATTATTTACTTTGTTTTCAAGGAAACTGGATCTGACATAGTGTACAAGAACAAGATCTTGACACAGAGTAGAGGATACTACGGCAGCACCACTACGGGACCAATCATCACGAGGTTCAACTCGAAGGATATATCCTTAGAATGTCACCTTAACAGGGATGTGTCAATAGTCGGACACTTCAGGCCTCAACATGAACATGAGCTGGTTGCACGAGGCTCAGGAAACTTTTCGATGCATATGGACTTCTACAGGGATCCAAGCTTGAGTTACAGAATCACGTCCTATCCCATATATATTGGCCTGAATCAGGATGTATACGTGGACGTCGGGCTGGAGTCCGATGACTCTGACCTCAAGATATCGCTTCAGAACTGCGTGGCTAAACCATCTGTAAATCCTTACGATTATTATAACCAGTACTACCTTATCAGAGATGGGTACGTGACACCAGATCTATGGTCAGGAAACATGATTGAATCTTAAGATTATGCTTTGTTACTATGGTGATCTAGTATATCGAACTCCGCTACACGTGTATCTAAAATGATAAATGCAGCCTATCAGTCAATGCCACAATTGAGATATTTAACATTAAATAAATATGTATTGGTAGCTCATATGACTTCTGTAGGAAAGGATCCGTTTTCCTTACTGTAACCTGTTTTAGATATCTGCACTTTTAACTCGACAAAGAAACACTTACTGTGACTATATTGCGCATTAATATGCTCGATGAAAGCAGACCTTTTAACATCGATTTTGGTTTATGGTTCAACATTGTACACCTTTTTTATGTAGATGTCCTGCTGACCAGACCGTTGCTTTCGAGTACACCTCCTCCCAGAAACATGTTCACTTCCGGTTCCGGACATTTGAATTTGTCCGCAACAATCGGGATGTATACATCTTCTGCTACGTCCGAGTATGCAACGGCACAGACTACGATCAGAGATGTCGTCGGGACTGCTCCTCCCTAAATCGCCAAGGTCGGGATGTGTCAGATGACAGAAAAGATCATGACCTCCACATCTTCCAGGGACCACTTACCTTTAGAGAGAAACGGAATGCAGGTAGTTATATAAAGGTTATATCTCATGTTGGAGAACCGTTTTCTTTGTCATTTTGTGTTCGGTATTGGAGTGAAAAGAAACTGCCTTGTTGTTGTAGTAGTAATAGTAGTAGTAGTAGTAGTAGTAGTAGTAGTAGTAGTAGTAGTAGTAGTAGTAATAATAATATTAAAAAACAAACAACAACAATATGACCCTAAGTTGATGATGAGCCTAACTAGCCTGACTGTGCCACGCAAACCCTCTTTGCTGCATTTTAATTTTTTTAGTCTGAACATAATAAAATGAAAATATATTTTTATCTACGCTATATAATAACTGCAAACATGGTAGGTTTGAATATATTTTCTGTAAGTATGGAAGGCGAATGCATGCGAAAATATCCAACAATGAAATTGGCTTTCCCTATGTTCTATATTTCAAATTCTATATGTTTGATTGATATGAACAAGACTAACGTCTTTGTGCTATTTTTTTTATCCCAATAACCAGCAAAAAACAGTGCAGATTCACGTACGAAATGAAGCAACACCAAATGTTTGACATGCGTCTTCATTTTCAGATTTCCAGGTTGCAGGACGAACTGACAGAAAGGACTCCAGCTCTGTGGGAACTGTCCCAGCAATTGTCATGGTCATTGCTGCAGTTGCCATGGTGATGGCTGCTGTTGTCATGGTGATCCGGTGGAAACGCCGCAACCGATCCCACACAACAGGTGTCGAAACCTAACTGTAAATTGTTTCAACAGCCTTTGCAACTGTGCCCAAATTAACTGCTTAAACTAAACATTTACCTGCTTTTTAGAGAATTCTCATAAATATAATGATGCATTTTTACATATCTTTCCCCGAATCACTACGCCTGTTCACCTAGACATATACAGAGCATTTGAATACACAGTGGGATGCAACTCCGAAACTCACCAATGTCGCATTGAACGTTAAGGAAGTCAATGATCGCAATTTCTATCATCCATGTTGTTTTGGCGGTGGCGAGACTTTGTCGGGTTTACTTACTGATACTAGACTTTTGAAGGGTTACATCGAATTTAACAATTTATGACACATCATTCAAAGTAAAATATTAAGCATGATTAGTAGTCTTATAATCTTACCATCTGCGGTATTCGTATTTGTGAATAATAAAAAACGATTGTCAATACGATTGAAATGCTAATCACTTTCGAGGTCCATCATTGTAAACTCGTAAAATAAGCCGCCTATTTCATTGATACAAACTGTCAGACAAGTATGGACGAGCCGATCTGCTTAAGCGTATGTAGAGAGACTGAGTCCCTGTCAGGTGTATTCAACAAGATCATGCCGTCTAATCAGAAAGGATGCCTTGGTGTCATCATCACCTGGTGTCATCACTGATTATCAGTGGTCCATTCATATAATTTCAGTAGCTTTTTGCCCTTTACGCCAAGTGTAATTTGTGTGGCAGAGAATGTAGGATGGTTATTTGCTTGCATTGACAATTTATATTTTTAGTTGTTTTAAAGCTTTGCTATAACTGCAATAAACATCATATGTAATGTCTTGTGTCGTTATTGTTATAACCTGGTAGCGAATGACACGGGTGGCCCAGCGGTGGAAGGTACCGCAGCTCTCTGTTCACAGTTGCGTCCCTTGTTCTGCTTTGTTTCTTCAGCACCGTATCATTTCATGGTCAAAGTGATTGGAGTCCAGACCTGCGTCCCCTTGCACTTTTCTCCCACATTAAGTTGACTACCTGTGATATTTGACTCAAATGTTGTTCAAAGCGACGGTAAACCCAACTCCCTCACTTAGGCCTAGTTATGCAGTTGTTGAGTGAGTGAGTGAGTGTGGTTTTACGCCGCTTTTTGCAATATTCCAGCAGTATTACGGCGGGGAACACCAGATATTGGGCTTCACACATTGTACCCATGTCGGGAATCGAACCCGGGTCTTCGGCGTGAGGAGCGAACGCTTTAACCACTAGGCTACCCGACCGCCCCTTTTGCAGTTATTGGGTAATGCAGGTACATAGTGGGAGTGTATAAAGTGGCGCACGTTTGTACAACGAAATTGCATTCTGTTCCTTACCAACAAGAGATGGATATCACGGAAAGTCAGGATTGATCATCGTCTTTGTAATCGTTGTGATTCAATACACACTGATGGAAGTGACGCATGAGTTTGGTACGCAAGCGTGTAGGTAACATGAAGATATTCAGATAACAATCATTCAGGTACCCACATTTCATTCAATGATTCATTTTGTTTTTCTAACACCTCAATCGAAACATATTACAAAAGTATTTAAGTTTTATCAAAAGTGCTGTCATATTGTTGGCCTGTCGGTCGTAAGAATCTATCGCTTTGGTGAAACCCATGAACGCAGGTGAAATCCACGATCACTGGTGAAACTAACGATCACTGGTGAAACTAACGACCACTGGTGAAACTAAAGAGCACAGGTGAAACTAACGAGCACTGGTGAAACTAACGAGCACTGGTGAAACGAACGAGCACTGGTGAAACTAATAACCGCTGGTGATACTTACGAGCACTGGTGAAACTAGTGCACAGGTGAAACTTACGATCACTGGTGAAACTAACGAGCACTGGTGAAACTAACGAGCACTGGTGAAATTAACGAGCACTGGTGAAACGAACGAGCACTGGTGAAACTAATAACCGCTGGTGATACTAACGAACACTGGCATAGTAATCACCACAAAAGTGGCGAATCTGATCTCTTCATGTCTCTCCTGCTGTAGACGACACGTATGACCTCACAATGGTTCATTGATGAATAAGATCTTATAAAAATAGAATCGGCATTTTTAAATTGAACGTGCGAAACTAGATGCACATTTACTTTTTATTTCAATTCTGCTCAGAACGAACCTGTGCATTTTCTGATGCTTGTATTCTGTGATGCAAGCGATTTGGGGTAATGGGATGTGGCACATGACACATGGTTGAACCCTTACTACTTAATACACAGTACATATGACACATCGTGACATATCTCATTACATAAAGATCACAAAATCTAAACATGTAGCGATACTCCGTAATGTGAATCTCCATCAAATAGTTAATATTTCTATGATGCCAGCTGAGCGCATCCAGTCTCTGGGAGTTACATATCAGACAAGGAAATGGCATCACATGAGAAAGCGAACAATGCTGAACAACTTCGTCGTCACATGTATCAGTTCCTACAAGATGGGGGGCACGGGTGGCCCAGTCGTCTAAAGCGCCGCGATTCGCTGTGCAGAGTTGCGTCCCTTCGACACGCCAGAAATCTATGATTGTGGGTTCGAATCCCGGTTCGCCCCAATTATGTTTCTAGGTTTGTCAGCATCATGTCGGGCTTTCCTCCCACATTAAGCTGACACGCCGTGATATAACTGGAATAATGTTAAAAGCGGCGTTAAACCCAACTCACTCACTCACTCACTCACTCCTACAAGATGGATGGAATTGCATTGTGCGAAGGAGTAATATGTCTATTGTCATACAGTTTGAAAGGCCATAGTCACACAACTAAAAACAGTTCAATTGCAACATATTTTAGATGAGGTGAGGTGAAATTGTGTTTAACGTCGCGACCACGATTATTGCCCTTATATAGCGACGTGCAGTATAAAAGACTCCGAGCCGACCAGTCCTTGTTTTTGCCCCTTAATGCCGAGCATCACACAGGGTAACAACAAGTACCATCTTTTAACGTCTTTTGGTATGACGAGGACGGGGCTCGAACCCCGGACCTTCCGCTACCCGGGCGAACACTCGAGGCGGTCGCTACATATATTGAAAGAAAGGACACCAACATTAATCAAATTAATAATGCAATCGACATCAGTGGCATTGAAGGATATTAGGAAGAAGCACTTTCACACTGTTCTTTTCTTGAGAGACATCAAAAATCAGTTTCCGCACATACGATCTACATTCATCAATCGAAACCCACAACGATCACCATATTTGAACCTGTACATATAAATAAATGTAATACAAAATCCCTTTCCGATCATATCATGAGCATGTGTTTACGAATCACTATAAAATAGTGATGACACCAGGTGTTTGCGAAAAGAGCGTATCCTGCCCCGCTAATGGCACCCGTTAGAAACACATGCAAAGGCGAGTCTACACTTCATCTGAAAAACACGGGAACATTTGGTTCAAGTAGGAAATTGCATCGGACATCATTTTTGTCACTGATGCGGCAAATTTGAAACTGTCCCCCATATGTCTACCATAAAACGTTTTGAAATCTTGACTAACGTCGTGAATGTTGTAATTATGATCAAACAACTTTTGAGCAAGACTCGTATGACGCTGTTTGAACTCTTCTTAAAAAGTGCATGCTCGAAAGCTGGAGCTGGTAGATATTGCTCGACATGAAGGGAAAATTTAATTTTGTAAAGTTGAAGTAATCCCTCTTAAATTGCAGCCTAACTCCTTGTGTATTACTATTTTTCTTTCATTCGAACTGTGTTAGTTCTTTCTTTCATCCTTAGCTAAGCTGGTACGCCGTTACATGGCCGAATTTGTGAATCAAACAGGCGCTCTCGCTCGATTCACAAGTACGTATATATGATGGGCGATCGTAGTCGTGTCGTAATATCTTATAGTATTAACTATACACGGAATAGTGCTTGTTCTGTGATAAAATCACAAAAGATGAAACCCACAGACCTACCTCATGTAGGAAGGACACTGTGCCCTTCCGCGTACCTCTGTGTGGAGCCCATTTCTGGTGTCCCCCGCTGTGATAGTGCTGGAATATTGCTATAAGCGACCCAAACCAAACTCACGTCCACGTCTCTCTTGCTTGATGAATTATATCATGAACATCTTTTGCAGGATGGTTCCACAAAGGCTCTGATATTCTTTGCCTCTGAGGTAAAAAATTAGGTAATATAATTTTTCTAATCTCGGAATAATCGAAAGAAATATTACTTATATAATGCAGAAATTCGACAACGAACTCACACAAACTACACACACACCTTTATCGGTTTAACCACTTCTTTAACAATTTTTACACGTGATAGTGGGTTTCAAAACTGTGTTAACAATTTTTTAACTAGCTCTTTCTAATGCTGAAACAGACAAAACCCATACGCTTTCATTTAAAATATTCGTTAAGAAAACTACACAGCATACGGAACGATTTCCGAATGTATTCATACACTTGTTTCAGATAAATTGAAAATGATGTTTGTTACTCTGTTACCTCCACTGTAGATATGGACTCTCTATACTGACTCTCTATTATGATGTGTCTGTGCAGGTGTCCGCCAGGGTCACCCTCATCATCCTGGACGTGAACGACGAGAAACCGGTGTTCACCAAGCCCGGCTACAGGGTCAGCGTGATGGAGGTACGAGACCAAGACCCAAATGAATTGAATATTGGTACACTTGATGAAAGTTCAGGTTAAACATGATTACACGAACACCTGGTGTTATCACGTTATCGTGGTAATATTGACACCATTGGAAGTGAAAGTTAACAGCTCCTTCACGAACACCTTGTGTCATCGATTTTATATTTGTGATAATTGCATGATTAGAAGGGCTGGTTAGACTTGTTCGTAATATACCTGGCGTCATCTCCGTTATACAGGTATCATTGGAAGTGCAGGTTAAACATCCCCTTCACGAACACCTGGTGTCATCGCCGTTATAATCGTAATAATTACATGACTGGAAGTGCAGGTTAGGCATCATGTTCATAATATACCTGGTGTCATCTCCGTTATACTGGTATCATTGGAAGTGTAGGTTTGTTAAATGCTTTTTATTCGTAATGCTCTATGATTGGAAGTGCAGGTTAAACAGCCGAATGCGCAAACAAAATGTTAGTTTCTATGACCATATAAATACATTTTCGTTTTGTTCATTGTAATTCAAGCATTCTGATTAGCTGAATTGGTCACGTGTTATGGCATTCATTTCCCAATATTGACAGTAGCGGGTGACCTCGCTTAGGTGAACACTACCAAGCTCACTGTCGTTCATTTCCCGATGAACGCCAATATGTCACGTGATTACGTTGTCAATCGAGCGGAGACATACAGAACTACTTTAGGGGAATTCCTCAGTGTCTAAAAATGTCAAATAGGAACGGCATCATCATGTGACAATTTCTCTTAGATTGTGCACATTCCACCAAAACTAAATCATAAGGGAAAAGGTTTCATGGCTGATGGGGTCAACCCCAGTTTCCAAATGTGTTCAAAACGGTACACAGCCCACTGTCTGCGAGAGACATCGATTCAGGCTACGAATGATGCAGGCTTTGAAGCCAGACAGATTATGTGCCAGCGAAATGAAGCGTCCATTCGAAGCTTTTACAGAGAATGCTCGACTTACCAAAATAAATCACTGAGCTCCACACTTCCGTGTATTGCTTTGGGAAATCCAACCGCGCCGCCTCAAGCGGTAATCCCCGTCATCAGCAGCCGTAGTAAGACAAACCAAAAGTTTACAGAACGTAAATATCAAACCATTTTCAGCATCAGCTGGGTCTAGATTTCTTGCAACTCAAACTTT